CTTACATAAAAACATTTTTCCCAGACCAATGTGCTGGAGTGTTCTCCACATTTTCTAGCAGTTACATAGCTGCAGGTCTCAGATTTAAGTCTTCCTTTCATTTTCATTTGATTTTTTAATGGTGAGAGATAGGGACCTAGTTTCATTTCCTTCTATATAATTATCCAGTTTTCACATGCTTCTATGTAATTATCCAGGAGGAATTGTTGAAGAGACTGTCTTTTCCCTATTTCATGTTTTTGGCACAACTGTTGAAGAAACGTTGGTTGTAAATGCATGCATTTATCTCTGGGTTCTCTAGTCTGCTCCATTGGTCTATGTGTCTCTCTCTGTGTGTGTGTGTGTGTGTGTGTGTGTGCCACTACCATGCTGTTTTTCTTAACAGAGCTTCATAGTCAATTTTGAAGTTAGGTAGTGTGATGCCTCCAGCTTCGTTCTTTTTGCTTAGCATTGCTTTGGCTCTTTGAAGTCTTTTGTAGTTCGACATAAATTTTGGAATTTTTTTATTTCTGTGAAGTATGTCATTGGTATTCTGACAAGGATGGCATTGAATCTGTAAATTCCTTAGGGCCGTGTTGTCATTTTAAGAATATTAATTCTTCCAATACATGAGCATGGAATATGTTTCCTAATTTTGGTGTCCTTTCCTGTTTCTTTCATCAGAGTTTTACAGTTCTTTTTCTATTAATTTTCTATTTCTTTGGTTAGATTGATTCCTAGGCATTTCACATTTTTTGTAGCTATTGTAAATGAGACTACTCTTTCGATTTCTGTTTCAGATTGTACACTGTTGGCATACACAAATGCTATTGATTTTTGTATGTTGATTTTGTATCCTGCAGCTTTACAGAGTAAGTTTGCCGTTTCTAAGAGTCTTTTGGTGGATCCTTTCCTAGGTATAAAGTCATGTTCTTTGTAAACAAGGCTAACTTGACGTCTTTCCTTCCAATATGGATTCTCTTTCTTTCTTTCTCCTTCCTAATTGCTCTGGCCAGGACACCCAGTATCATGTTGAATGAGAGTGATGAAAGTAGGTATCTTTGTATTGTTATGGATCTTAGAGGAGAAGCTTTCAGCTTTCCCCCATTTAGTGTTAGCTATGTGTTTGTCATATATGGCCTTTATTATTTCTAGATGTGACTCTTCTATACCTATTTGGGTGAGAACTTTTATCATATAGGAGTGTTGATTTTTTTTTTTTGTCTGAGGTGGGAGTCTCACTTTGTTGCCCGGGCTGGAGTGCAGTGGCATGATATTGGCTTGCTGCAACTTTTGCCTCCTGGGTTCAAGTGATTCTCATGCCTCAGCCTCCTGAGTAGCTGGCATTACAGGTGTATGCCACCACATCTGGCTAATTTTTATATTTTTGGTAGAGGCAGGGCTTTGACCTGTTGGCCAGGCTGGTCTTGAACTCCTAACCTCAAGTGATCCACCCGCCTCAGCCTCTCAAAATGCTTGGATTACAGGCATGAGCCATTGTGCCAGCCTAGGAATGTTAAATCTCATCAAATGCTTTTCAGAATGTATTGAAACAATCATATCATTTTTGTTCTTGATTCTGTCAATGTGATGTATCATGTTCTTTGATTTGCATATGTTGAGCCATCTCTGCATTCCTGGGCTGAATTCCACTTGACTGTGGTGTATAATCTTTTAGATGCATTGTTGGATTTAATTTATTAGTATTTTCTTGAGGATTTTTGCATCCATGTTTATAGTGATATTGGCCTATAGCTTTCTTTCTTGTGTTCTAGTCTGGTTTGGTATCATGGTAATACTGGTCTCATACAATGAGTTCAGAAGTATTTCCTTCTCTTTAATATTTTTGAGTGTTTGAGTAAGGTTTTTAAAATCTTTGGTGAAATTTAGCAGTGAATTCATCAGGTCTCAGGCTTTTCTTTGATGGGAAACTTTTATGATGACTCTGATCTCATTACTCATGATTGGTTTGCTGGGGTTCTCTGTTTCTTCATTGTTCAATCTTGGTAGGTTGTATGTATTCAGGAATTTATCCATTCAAAATAGGCTTTCCAATTTGTTGGCACTGTTCTTAATAGCCTGTAAAGATTAACTGTATTTCTGAGGTCTCAGTTGTTATGTCTCCTTTTTTGTTTATGGCTTTATTTATTTGAGTGTTCTCTCTTTCCTCTTAGTCTAGCTAAAAGTTTGTTGATGTTGTTTATTTTTTTAAAAAAACAACTTTTTCTTTCATTGATCTGCTGTTGTCTCAATTTCCTTTATTTCTGCTCTGATCTTTATCATTTCTTTCCCTCTAGTAATTTTGGCTTTGCTTTTTTCATGCTTTTCTAGTTCCTTGAGATACATTGTTAGATTGTTTCTTTGAAGTCTCTCTATTTTTTTTTGATATAGGCATTTATTCCCATGAAATTTCCTCTTACTACTGCTTTTACCATATCCCATAGATTTGTTATGTTGTATTTCCATTTTAATTTATTTCAAGAAATAAATTTAACTTCCTCATTGACCCACTGGTCATTCAGGAGCATGTCATTTGATTTCTATGTATTTGTACAGTTTCCAAGGTTCCTTTTGTTAGTGATTTCTGGTTTTATTCCATTGTGGTCAGAAAAGACATTTTATATGATTTCTATTTTTTTGAATTTGTACATACTTGTTTTGCAGCCTAGGTTATGATCTATTCTGGAAAATCTTCCATGTGGTGATGAAAATAGTGTGTATTCTGTAGCAGTTGGGTGAAATGTTATATAATGTCAGCTAGCCCTGTTAGCTCTAGTGTGTTATTTAATTCCACCTTTTCTTTGTTATTTTTCTGTCTTGATGATCTGTTTATACCTGCGTTTGGGGTGTTAAAGTTGCATACTAGGGCCAGGCATGGTAGCTCATGCTTGCAATCACAACACTTTGGGAGGGTGAGGTGGGTGGATCACTTGAGCCCAGGAGTTTGGGAACAGCCTGGACAACATGGCAAAACTCCATCTCTACTAAAAATACAAAAATTAGCTGTGCATGGAGGCACATACCTATAGTCCCAGCTACCCAGGAGGCTGAAGTGGGTGGAATGCTTGAGTCTGAGAGGTTGAGGCTACAGTGAGCTATGATCATGCCTCTGCACTCCTGCTTGGGTGATAGAGCAAGACCCTGTCTCAAAAATAAATCAATATATAAAGTCTCCTATTATTCTTGTATTGCAGCCTATCTCTCCCTTTAGATCTATTAACATTTGCTTCATGTACCTTGGAGCTCCAGTTTTGGGTACACCAATATTTATAGTTGTTATATTCTCTTATTGAATTCACCCTTTTATCATTATATAGTGACCCTTCTTGTATTTTTATTTTTTACAATCGCTGTAGTCTATCTTATCTAATACATAGTCTTTCTGCTCTTCTTTTGGTTTCCAAATGCATGAATCATCTCTTTCCACCTCTTCGCTGTCATTCTATGCATGTCTTTATAGGTGAAGTAGATGTCTTGAAGGCAACATAGAGTTGGGTATTGTTTCTTTATCCATTCAGCGACTTCATGCCTTTACATTGGAGAGCTGAGACCCATTTAACACATTTAGTGTTATTATTGATAAGTAAGTACTTACTATTGCCATTTTATGGCTTGATTTCTGGTTGCTTTGAGACTCCTCTCTTCTTTTCTTCATTTGTGCTTAAGTGATTATCTCTGGTAGTATCTTTTAATTTGTTGTCTTTTTTTTTTTTTTAGTGAATCTGTTATAGGTTTTTTTGTTGTGGTTACCATGAGTCTCACAAAAAGCATTTTATGGATGTAACAAAGTTATTTTCAAAAGATGACTATTTATCTTAGATCACAAAGAAAAGAACAGAAATCAAGACAAAAAAATCGATCTTAAAAATATTCTACACATTAATACCATCCTCTCTGCCACATTTTGACTTTTAGTTTTCTCAATTTACATAGTTTTATATTACCTCTTAATAAGTTTATATTACCTCTTAACAGGTGGTTGTGCTATTATCATTTTTGATGTTTGTCTTTTAACCTTCATTTGTTGTGAGTGAATCGAATATCAAAAACATAGTAATAGAGTGTTCCAGTTTTTTTCATGTAATTAATTTTACCAGTGGGTTTCATATCTTTAAAAATTTTCTTTGCACATTAAGTGGTTTTTTTTTACCATTTCAGATTGAAGAAAAGCCTTTACCACTTTTTGCAATATGGGCTTGGTTGTGGTGAGTTTTCTTGGCTTCTGTATGTCTGGGGAAGATTTTATCTTGCCTTCATATTTGAATGATAATTTTGCTGAATACAGTATTCTTGGATAGCAGATTTTTATTTTGAGTACTTTGAAAATGTCATTCTACTTCCTCCTGGCCTGTATGATTTATGTTTAGAAATTGGTTGCCAGATGAATTGGAACACCTTTATATGTTTATTGCTTCTTGTATCTCACTGGTTTTAGGATTGTCTCTTTGCCCTTGACCTTTGAGAGTTTGATTATTATATGTCTTGTTGTAGTCTTATTTGGGTTGAATCTATTGGTGTTTAACATTTTCTTGTACCTGGGTTTTTTTTTTTTTTTTTTTGAGACGGAGTTTCGCTCTTTTCACCCAGGCTACAGTGCAATGGCGCGATCTTGGCTCACTGCAACCTCCGCCTCCTGGGTTCAGGCAATTCTCCTGCCTCAGCCTCCTGAGTAGCTGGGATTACAGGCATGCGCCACCGTGCCCAGCTAATTTTTTGTATTTTTAGTAGAGACGGGGTTTCACTATGTTGACCAGAATGGTCTCAATCTCTTGACCTCGTGATCCACCCGCCTTGGCCTCCCAAAGTGCTGGGATTACAGGCGTGAGCCACTGCGCCCGGCCTACCTGGGTATTTATATTAATATCTTGTTTGAGTTTTTGAATGTTTTCTGTTATTATATTTTTGAATAAGTTTTCTACACCTTGCTCTTGCTCAACTCCCTCTTAAATACCACTAATTCTTACATTTGATCTTTTGAGAATATTTTTTATATCTTATGGGTGGTCTTCACCCCCCCCTTTTTTTTTCTTTAAAAGTAATTTATTTGACTCTGATCACAAAACACAGGTGAGGATCATGGGCATTGTCTGTAACCCCCGAGATGCCCATCTTCCCAGTCTATGCTTCTATAAATACCCTTTGTACAACAGCAAGCTCATGCTGTTCCCAAGCACGTGCACATTCTAACAGCTGCAGAGTATAGTGCATGACCAGGTGAAAGTTAGACAGACGCCCCACTCACAACTAAGGCCCCTCCAATTAGTCTTCCAGATCCTTTTGCTAATAGTAACTGGTTGCTGTTCCTATTGCTCATAGATAAATGACACCTGCACAATTCTGGGTGCTTTCAAGCAACCTCGGCAGGCAGTGACTAGACCCTTTCCTTGCTCCGAGCTTCTTATGTCCCAGGCTGCCTGTGGCAACCGGACTGCTGTTGCCCTGGGGTCCCGCACACTCCAGGGTGACGATGGAGGAAAGCAGGCCAGGCCAAGCATGAGGAATTAACAGTCTTTATTGGGCTCAGACCAGGAGTCCATGGGTCTTGAGGACCTCTGTGTATTTGTCAATTTTTTTCTCCACGTTCTTCTTGGTTTGTTTCCGTAGCCTCATGAGCTGTTTCTTCTTTCGGTACTGGATCTTGGCTTTCTCCTTCCTCTTCTCCTCCAGGGTGGTTGTCACTTCCTGGTGCTTCCAGCCAACCTTGTGAGCCAGGCGCCCCAGATAGGCAAATTTCCTTGAAGGTTTCGGACGCACGACCTTGAGGGCCGCAGGAACCACCATCCGCTTTTTCTTGTCGTATGGGGCGGTGAGATGCCGTCAAACACCCTGAGGAGGTCCAAGGCGGCCTGGCCTTGCTTGGTCTTGTGAAGCAGCATGCCTTGCACGGTCCACCAGAAGATGTGGCTGGGGGCCCGGAAGTGGTAGAGGCCTCGGGAAGGGTTGGTGTTCATCCGCTTGTGGAGGAAAGCCAGGTACTTCAACTTGTTTCTGTAGAAATTGCCAGAAATACTGACAGCCTCGCAGCGAACGACCACCACCTTCCCGCCCAGCAGTACCTGCTTAGCCACGATGGCTGCCAGGCGGCCCAGGAGATGGCCTTGACCATCGAGCACCAAGACCTGCACCTCCGCCATCTTCAGGAACTGCCTGGGAAGCCCCCCCCCCCCCTTTTTTTTAATGTTCACTGATGGTGTATCTTTAAACAGCCAGCCTTTGATCTCACTGATTCCTTTCTCTAATTGTTTCTTGCATTTATCATTCATTTCCAAGATATCAATCTGATTTTTAAATTATTACAATCTTTGTGTGAAATTTTTGATAAACTTCTGAATTGCTTTTCTTTGTTATCTTGTAGGTCACTGAGTTTCCTTAAAATTGCGATTTTGAAATCTTGGACAGAGAGTTCACAAATCACTATCCTATTAGAGTCAGTAACTGAATTTTTCCTTTGTCCTTTTTGGGAGGTCATACTTTCCTGTTTGCTGTTGTTTACTATGAGTATGTGTCTTTGCATTGAATGATTAGTTATTTATTCCAGTTTTCTCTGTCTGGCTTGTTTTGATTTGTATGGAATATATTTTCTTGGTGAATCTTCACTGCTAGGTCACTGCCTCCTTTTTGTCTCTAGGAGACACCTCAAGCTAGGTTCACCTGGGATCTAGTACATGGTCAGAGTGCTGCCTGTCCTATACTGGGGAAATCCCAAAGGGATTATCTTCCCAGTGTGGAAAGGCTGGCTAGGCGGTAGTACCCAGGGGACCTACAGCATGGTGGAATTGAACAGCCACTCTGACTTGGCATCTCTGTTCACTAGGTTACAGAGATCCTGGGGTTGGGGATAATAAACATGTCTCCTGTTTGTTTCTGCCTGTCCTGAGAATATGTCTCCCTTCAGGCAATTATTATGCTACCTATGGGTTAAGGGAAGGATAGGCTTCCTGCTAGGGAACCCAAGAAGGTAGGGAAGCTCACCTCAATTCTACTTTTTCCAGTACAGAAACCGTGAGTTGAAGAGAAAATTTCCATGTAATTGGTGCTCAGAAGAATTGGGGGTGGAGCACTGCGGGTGTGGAGGTACAATTCTACCATCTGCTCAGTCTTTTTCTACCTCTCTGTGGTCCTAGGAACTGTTTTACCCTGATATTTGAGTTCTGAGTTGTTACTGGTATAGATCTTGGCACTGTATATATGTTTTTGTTTTTTGTGTGGGGAGAGAAGCCAGCTTGCCCAATGCCACCATTTCAGTACCATTTGAACTCAAATTACACATTTTTTCATGCTTATAATTTTAAAATGTTAACTTTAATAATAAAAATAAGCAGTAAAAAATGCTAGTAAACTGAATCCAATGGCACATTAAAAAGATAATATGTAGCCGGGCGCAGTGCCTCACGCCTGTAATCCCAGCACTTTGGGAGGCCGAGGCGGGTAGATCACGAGGTCAAGAGATCGAGACCATCCTGGTCAACGTGGTGAAACCCCGTCTCTATTAAAGAAACAAAAAATTAGCTGGGCATGGTGGCGTGTGCCTGTAATCCCAGCTACTCAGGAGGCTGAGGCAGGAGAATTGCCTGAACCCAGGAGGCGGAGGTTGCAGTGAGCCGAGATCACGCCATTGCACTCCAGCCTGGGTAACAAGAGCGAAACTCCGTCTCAAAAAAAAAAAAAGAAAGATAATATGCCATGACAAGTGGGATTTAACCCAGGGAATGCAACTGGTTCAGCATACATGATATATCACGTCGACAGAATAAAGGACAAAACCATACGATCATCTCAATAGATGCAGAAAAAAATCCGATAAAATGTAGCATACTTTCCGTTACAGTTTGGATATTTGTTTTTTCAAAATCTCATGTTGAAATGTGATCCCCAGTGTTGGAGGTGGGGCCTGGTGGAAGGCTTTTGGGTCATGGGGGCAGATCCATCATGTATGGCTTAGTGTTGTCCTCGAAATAATAAATGAGTTCTCCCTTTATTTGTTCCTGTGAGAGCCAATTCTTAAAAAGAAACTGGCACTGCCTCCTCTGTCTCCTGCTCCCTCTCTTGCCGTGTGCTGTACTTGCTTCACTTTTATATTCTGCCATGAATAAGAGCTTTCTGAGGCCTCACCAGAAGCTGAGCAGATCCCACACACAACCATGAGTTATGCAAAATTATAAGCCAAATAAGCATCTTTTCTTTATAAATTACCCAGTTTCAGGCATTACATTATAGCAATTCAAAACATACTAACACACCTTCATAATAAAAACTCTCAACCAACTAGGCATAGAAGAAACATACCTCAAAGTAATAAAGGCCACGTATGACAAACACACAGCTAAATCGTACTAAATGGGAAAAAGCTGAAAGCTCCTCCTCGAAGATCTGGAACAGACAAGGATATCTACTTTCATCACTTTTATTCAACATAATACATAAGCTGGAGGCTTGGCCCAAGCAATTAGGCAAGAGAAAGAAATAAAAGACGTTTATAGAGGAAAGGAAGAAGTCACGTTAGCCTTGTTCACAGATGACAAAGTCTTATACCTAGAAAAACCTAAACGCCTTACCAAAACACTCTTAGATAAACTAATTCAGTAAAGTTGCAGCATACAAAATCAAATTAAAGAGAACATTTAAAAAGGAGACATATTCTATGCTCATGGACTGGAAGAATTCATATTGTTTCAATGACAACACTGCCCTAAGAAATTTGCTGATCCAATGTAATCCCTATCAAAATACCAATGAAGTTCTTCACAACAATAGAAAAAAATTCTAAAGTCTATGTGGAACCACAAGAGACCTTGAAGAGCCAAAAGAATGCTAAGCAAAGAAAACAAAGCTGGAGGCATCACACTTCTTCACCTCAATATTTACTACAAAGCTATAGTAACCAAAACAGCATGGCACTGGTATATAAAACAGACATATAGACCAATGGAACAGAACAGAGAACCCAGAAGTAAATCCACACATTTACAGCCAACTGATTTTTGACAAAGGCTTCAAGAATATCCAATGGAGAAAGGACAATCTTTTCAATAAATGGTGCTGGGAAAACTGAATAACCACATGAAGGAGAATGAAGCTACACCCATATCTCTCATCATGTAAAAAGAACCAAATCAAGATGGATTAAAGACTTAATTCTAAAACCTGAAACTATGAACCTACTAGAAGAAAGCAATGGATAAAAATCTCCAGGACATTGGTTTGGGCAAAGATTTTTTATGTATGACCCCAAAGAACAGGTGCAAAAGCAAAAATAGACAAAGGAGGCTATATTAAACTAAAAAGCTTCTGCATAGCAAGGAAGACAACCAACAGCATGAAGAGACAACCTGTTGAATGGGAGAAATTATTTGCAAACTAGCCATTCAAAAACAGACACATATCCAGACATACACAGCACTCAAACAACTTAACAAAATAATTTTTTTTTTAAGACAGAGTCTTGCTCTCTTGCCAGGCTGGAGTGCAGTGGCACAATATTGTCTCCCTGCAACCTCTGCCTCCTGGGTTCTAGTGATTCCCGTGCCTTAGTCTCCCGAGTAGCTGGGATTACAGGTACATGCTAGTTTTTGTATTTTTAGTAGAGATGAGGTTTCACCATGTTGGCTAGGGGTCTCGATTTCCTGACCTCATGATCCACCCACCTTGGCCTCCCAAAGTTCTAGGATTACAGACATGAGCTACTGTAATACTAATCCCATTAAAGGGAGGGCAGAGGATCTGAATAGATATTTGTCAGTAGAAGACATATAAATGGCTAAGAGATACATAAAATATGCTCAAGATCATTAAACATCAGGGAAATACAAATCAAAACCACAATTGAGATATGCTCTTATCACAGAATAGTTATTATCAAGAAGACAAAAAAAAAAAAGATGCTGGAAGAGATGTGGAGAAAAGGAAACTCATATGTGCTCCTAGTGGGAATGTAAATTGTGCCATCATTATGGAAAACAATATGGAGATTCCTCAAACCTAAAAGTAGGACTACCTTATGATTCAGCAATTCCATTGCTGGGTATTTATCCAAAGAAAAGGAAATTATCATCAAAGGGGTTACTATATCTTCATGTTTATTGCAGCTCCATTCACAATAACGAAGATGGAATCAGCCCAAGTGTTCATCAGCAGATGAATAGTAAAGAAAATGTGTTATGTATACACAGCGGAAAGCTATGCAGCCTTAAACATGAAATCCTGGCATTCTGCAACATGGACGGAAGTGAAGGTCAGTATGCTAAGTGAAATAGACCAGGCAAAGAAAGACAAATATTACATATTCTCACTCATATGTGAGAACTGAAAAAAGAGTTTATCTTATGGAGGTAGAAAGTAGAATAAATAGTTACCAGAGGCTTGAAAGGGTGTGTGTGGGGGCCGGGAGGTAAAACGAGCTAGCCTAATGGGTACAAACGTACAGTTAAATAGAAGGAATAAATTCTAACTTTTGACAGCACAGCAGGCTGGCTATAGTTAGCAACAACGTATTATGTATTTCACAATAGCTAGAAGAGTGGATTTGAAATTTACCCAACACAAAGAAATAAATGCTCGAGGTGATGAATATTCTAAATATCCTCACTTGATCATTATACATTCTACACATGCATTAAAATATTATGTATACCCCCCAAATGTACAAATATTATGTGCCAGTAATTTTTTAAAAAACCAACAAGTTCAATACAATAAGAGATATTTTAAAATGATACAAAAATTATTGGCAAATATTTCCTTTTTATTAACATCAATTTTTTTCTCCTATAAGTATAAAGAGAATAATACATAGCATCAGAAGTGGTTGGTTTTCTGAGAGAGAATCCTTTACCCAGTTAAAAAGACAGAATCAGAATCACCAGGGTAAATAGGACTTTGGAGAACTACATAGCACTGATCTTGCTGTCCTGGGGCGGCCAGACTCAGAGAGGGCTCCCTTTCCAGGGAAAACTAAACTTTGGCTCTCCTTTTTGGAGGTGTTCTTACTGCAAGACCAACATGGCAGAATATCAGCAGAGTCCAGACAAACGGTCGTATTCTCTTCTATTTCTTACAATATGCACTGCCAAGGATGGTGCAGACTGTTATGGGCTAAACTGTGTCCCTCTACCCATACATTGAGGTCCTATGGTGACAAGATAGAGGGAGAAGACGGCCATCTATAAGCCAAAGAGAGAGGCCTCAGAAGCAATCAGTACTGTAATACATTGATCTTGGACCTGTATCCTCCAGAACTGGGAGATAATACATTTCTATTGTTTGGCTTGCCCAGTCTGTGCCACTTTATTATGGAAGTTTTAGCAAATTAAAACAGAGATATCACCTTTTCTACCCTGCCCAGTATATGAAAATGAGATTTTTCAAGAGTATGAATTATGTAGGATTCCAAAGCATAGAATGGAGAGATTGAAAATTGACAGCATCAGATGATGTAGAGTTTGGGTAGATGTAGGCTGGTTTCCAAGCCTCCGTGGGTCCCATGGTCACCACGCAAAAGTGGAGATGTTCTCATTCCTTTTCATTTTCACTCAGAGAAAAACGTGTGGGTCCAAACTGGTATATTATCAGAAGACATATTTAACTGATTTGACATATTGAGGGAGAGATTCTTGCTGTACTTTTACAGAAAGACGAATGACAATTATCATCACTAAGGGACTGTTAGGCAGGGCGTTGCTGGTATTGTTTTCCTCCTGCCTTAAGGTGCATGTTCCTAAAAAGTCCAGTCTATCAGTAAATGGCATCACTTAAATTTTTCTCTTGTTTGTTGACCCATTGGTCTTCACTTTATCTCAGTAAGGTTACCAGAATGTTTGTGTTTATCCAGGATTCACAGATGAATTTAAAAGTCCCTAGTAGCAGAGAGCCTCGCCTGAGGTCACACAGCAACTGAGTGTGGTGAAGCAATGATAGGCACATGGCAGCCTGGTCCATACTCCAGTTCTCTAGGTGCCATGAGAATAGCAGCCTTTGATTCATTTTCCATTTAAAAAAAAATCTGAATGAGTGAAGGAAAATGCATGTGGACAACAAAGTGCCAGAGACCTAAGTTGTTTCCTTAAACCTACAGGGTTGGAGCATGGAGAGAGACAGGCTGCCACTGATTCTCTGAATTCCAGCGTCCATTGCCAGTCACACAGCTGAAAGCAGGAAGAAACTTTCTTTTCTGCACTTGGAACAATAGGATAAATATGTCCGAGAGTCCCACATCTACCACGGAAAAGACAAAGGTCCCTTTCATTCCTTGAATCGTGCCCATTTTTCTAATTACATGTGTTTTCCTGCAACACGTAACTCTATCTCCTCCCTTCAAACACCAATTATCACAGTACAAACAACAACAGCACAAAGGAGTTACTGCTGAGCCTGAAACTCTGATGGAAGCTCTGAGTTGAGACTTTGTTTTATACTTAGGTATTTGTGAGTCATTGCAGAGTTTTGCCTGACTCCACCATGACTCAGTTTGATCAAGGTCTATATGCTACGGGACCTCTCTAGTTCCTCATCAGAAATTACAGTGAATGCCATGTCCAGCTCCTGGGGTGCCTGATGACAATGAGCGGCAGCTCCTCTTAAATTTTACTCTGCTTGTCGGGCAGCACTTTGAGGGTAACCAAGGCCTCATAGACTTCATTACTGCTGGGCCACATGGCCCAAGGCTCCTGGACACAATGAATCCATGGTCTTGGATTCACCTCTGACGTTTAATGACATTTGCTTTCGGGCTTTCACAAGTGGTCTTTGGTTGAGATGGAAGGAAAAGATGCAGGGTCGCAAAACTTCTCACTGACCAGGGACCACCCCCCCGCTCACTTTCACTCAGCAACTACATGGCCATTTCACAAAATTCCTGAGAACATGGCCAACAGAAACAACACAGGGAAGTGCCTTACCCAGAGTTCCATGGAAGGCTGGCTGGAGCCCTTTCGACCACTTACCTAAGCCTGTTGGGATTTCTCTAGCATGAAATGCTCCAGAGGCAGTCATACCATAAGCTTGAATTCTCCAACTCATTGAGTGGAAAGGTCGTAGCCCTGGCTAAATGAGCACTGAATTCTAGAAAGACCAAAGGACCCTCTAAGTTCTGAATCCTGAGTCCTGAATCCTGGAAGTTGGCTTCTGAGCAGGAAGCAGGTGTCACTGACTCTGATCCACAAAAGCAGCCCACGGCTCAAGTTGCTCTCCTGGCAAATCTTCACTGCTTTGTTAGCCCATCCATTTACTCAACCAGATTTTACAAATAAGTATGTTTTCCTCCTTTTCTCATTGTACTCACTGGAAGGAATGGTCTAAATAACCTAATCAGCAATTCCAGGAAACCAAGACACCGTGTATATACAATCTTTTTTTGAGACAGAATCTCACTCTTGTTACCCAAGCTGTAGTGCAATGGCACGATCTTGGCTCACTACAACCTCCATCTCCTGGGTTCAAGCGACTCTCCTGCCTCAGCCTCCCGAGTATCTGGGATTACAGGTACATGCCACCGGCTAATTTTTTGTATTTTTAGTGGAGATGGAGTTTCACTATGTTGGCCTGGCTGGTTGCGAACTCCTGACCTCAGGCAATCCACCCACCTCGGCCTCCCAAAGAGATGGGACTACAGGCGTGAGCCATCGTGCCCAGCCACATGTATATACAATCTTATATGTTAATGTTGCATACGAGAAAGAAAATGCAGACGTACCAGTAGTGGCCACCTAAGCAATGTAACATAGAGGTAATAAAAATAAATAGTTGGGTAGCATCTATCTGTGCCATGATTAAAATACATATCAATAAATTATAACTTCTAAGAGAATAATCTCTAAATTATAACTTGTAAGGTAATAATCTCTACGCAATATATGACTATGATGCTGATAGACAAACCTTGGAGAACCGTCTGAAGACACTTCTCATCACCTTCACCTCATGAGCAGATAGTGTGAAATGAGAAGCAGAGATGTGAAATGTGTGGCAAGCCTCTCTGCAAAGCAGTAGAGTAACATTCTACATGAGCAAATCAAAGCAATCTCCTCACAAATGACACTGGATGTATGGTTTGGGATGTGTGTCCTTAACTATAATGGAGTCAATGCTTTAAGTAGGTCATCTTTTTACATGAACAGGATTCTAAATGACTTATTAGCTGTCAATTAGACAGAAGTTCTTCTCATTGCTAAAAGGGAGACCCTGCCATGAACCAGAATTTCGCAGGTGGAGGTTACTTGCAGACATCAACTTCTAACAGGGTAAATGTCCTGTTTTTTCAGTCAGGGGAAACTGACTTTCACAAGTGGTCTCTGGCTGAGGGATCCCATCGTGAGTGGGGGATTTGCCAAGTCACTTCTCCCTGTTCCTGCTGGGTTTGGAGATGGTGAACCGACAGAAGACACAAACTCTGAGAAGGGACCAGGGTTCTCAGATGCTGGAACACCTCTCCTCCATGACCTTCTCTTCTGCTATGTCTGGGTCCCATGTCTTGTCATCCCTTAGGCCTCCTTCTCGCCAAGAACCAGGCCCCCCTTTTTTTTTTCCGGTGGTGGCACATACCTGTAATCCCAGCTACTCAGGAGGCTGAGGCTGGAGGATTGCTTGAACCCGGAAGGTGGAGGTTGCAGTGAGCCGAGATTGCACCACTGCACTCCAGCCTGGGCAACAAGAGTAAAACTCTGTCTTAAAAAAAAAGAAAAATTATGATAAACATCCCTTTACGCTGACTCCTGACTTTCTGGTTTCCCTTCATCTCCACTAACATCAGGACGTTCCTGAGCATCATAAAAGTCCTGCAATTATAGCCATTTAGAACTACTGAAAAATGCAGGCACTGTCTTCCAAACCAGTATCTGTTAAAGCTGCAGAGAGTAGTTTTTGGTTTCTTGGGAGACAGGGAGGATGAAGGGGGCACTCATGCACAGAACATCTATTCCAACATGCCTGTCTTCATCAGCCTTTGGTTCCTTCCTATACATTATATCAAAACATTTCTCACATCTATCCTATTTAGTTAGACTATGACTAAGTCAAATTTAAAAGCAACTCAACATTTAGAGCCACTCTGAGTGTGGAAAATCTCAAATTGTTTTTCCCCTGCTCTCACACTACAACAACTATCAACACAGCAGACTTCTCTGATGAAATGTAGGGAATTTCTCCAACAAACAAGCTATCGGTTCTGTGATGGACAGCAGCTGGGTGTCCTCTAACTCAATTCTAACACAATCTCCCTATATATAACATCACATCCCATGGGTTGAGAGCTCAGTCCCTACGACTGTCCCCCTCCCACTCCTGATGCCGATCTCAAGCCTCAGGTTATTTTGCTTGTGTTTCTAACTGACTTGCTATAAATCAGGGTTCCCACAACTCACTTCTCAGGTTTGATTAATTTGCTAGAATGGCTCACAGAACTCAGAGAAACACTCACATACACTTACCAGTTTGTTTTAAAAGGTATTCTAAAAGATACAAGTAAAGAGCCACATTAACAGATACACAGGGCAAGTTAGAAGGGTCCCCAGTGCAGGAGCTTCTGTCCCATTGGGTTGGGATGCACCACCCTCCCTGGCACATGGCTGAGTTCTTGTTCACCTTCCTCTAAGCCTCCCTGTGTTCAACTATCCAGAAGCTCTCCAAACTCTGCCCCTTTGGGTTTTGATGGAAACTATATTTTGTATGCATGATTCATTAGATCATTGACTATCAGCTTAACCTTTAGCCTCTCTCCCTTCCCTGCCAATGATATGATCCTTATCTAGAAAAACCTAAAGACTCCACCAAAGAACTATTAGATGTGATAAATAAATTCAGTAAAGTTGTAGAATGTAAAATCAACATACAAAATCACTATAATGTCTATACATTAGTAATGAAGTAGCTGAGAAAGAAATAAGCAATTCCATTTACAACAACAGCTAGAAAAAATACCTAGGAATGAGTTTAAGCACGGAAGTCAAAGATCTCTTAAAAAGAAATCTATTCAACACTGATGAAAGGAAGAAGAGGATGCAAACAAACAGAAAGATAGTCCATGCACATGAATCAGAGGAATTAATATTAGTAAAATGACCATACTTCCCAAAGCAATCTAGAGATTCAAGGAACTCTCAATAAAAATACCAATGTTATTTTTCACAGAATTAAAAAAAATAATTCTAATATTCCTGTGGAACCAAAAAATAAAAAAAGCTGAAATAGCCAAAACAATCTTGAGCAAAAAGAACAAAGCCAGATGCAAAATATATTACAAGGCTATAATAACTAAAACAGAATGGTATTGGTATAAAAACAGACATGTCAATCAATGGAACATAATAGAGAATCCAGAAATAAATCCATATGTTTATAGCCAACTGACTTTTAACATAGGTGTCAAGAACATTTAAAAATCAATATCCATATGCAAAAGAATAAAATGAGATCCCTATCACTAACCCTATATAAAAACGAACTCAAGTTGAATTACATACTTAAATGTAAGACCTGAAACTGTAAAACAACTAGAAGACCACCTAGGAGAAACATTCTAGGACACTGGTCTGGGCAAAGATTTTATGGTTAAGACTTCAAAAATACAGAAAACACAAACAAAAATAGACAACAGGACTATAATAAACTAAAAAGCTTCTGCATAGTAAAGAAAACAATCAGCAGAGTGAAGAGACAACCTGTTGAATGGGAGAAAGTACTTTCAAACCATTTATCTGACAAGGGACTTGTATCTAGAATATATAAGAAACTCAAACAACTCAAGAATTAAAAAACAAAATAATCTCATTTAAGAGTGAGCAAAGGACATGAACAGGCATTTCTCAAAAGAAGACATACAAATGGCCAACAGGAATGTTAAAAAAAAAAAAACTCAACATCACTAACCATCAGAGAAATGCAAATCAAAACCACAATGAGATGTCATCTTACCCCAGATAGAATAGACACAACTTAAAAAGACAAGAACAAAACAAACAAACAAACACATGCTGATGATGTGGAGAAAAGGGAACTCTTACACACTGTTGATTGGAGTTTAAATTAGTAATGCCACTATAGAAAACAGTAAGGAGAGTTTAAAAAAATCTAAATACAGAACCACTACATTATCCAGCAATTTGGGGTGGAGTGGCAAAACCCTGGAGTTCAGGGGTCAGCGTTGGCAGACATCAGGGCCTGCGGGTGCTTGGGTAGCTGCAGGAGAATAAAAGAGGCAGATGCCTGGGTCCTAGAGTATGGAAGTGAGGGAGGTGCAGAGCTGTCCCCGGAGGGCAGGAATTAATAGAAGAATTCTTGAGACCTCTCGGGAATAGGGAGAGTTCAAGCCCTCAGGATCCAGGGCAAGGGGTCAGAAGCTTGGCCAGGCTCATTGCTGAGCTCTTTGTAAGGCACAATGATCTTCAGACTCCAACCTAAGTCATGCACACATCCTCCGAGAACATCGCCTTAGCTCCAGCAGAGAGGCCTGCTCTTTGCCTGTGACCCTGTGGCCCTTGGGCCTGACATGGTGGCTCCTGCTCTGAAATGCAATTTCACAACCGTTCAGCAAGCTGAGTGCTGTGACCCCAGGCCTCATGGGGCCGGACTCTGATATGACAGTAAGGTCCAAGCTCAGAAAGTATGGCCCTGGAACTATTACCCTGGGCCCCTTAGCGCCAGGCCTTAGCTATCTTTTCTTCAAGACCCTAGGGACTTTCTCCTGCTCTACACACACACACACACACACACACACACACACACACCCCTTCTAAATTGATGCTTCCCATTTTTCTCTCCTCCCTGACTCACTCTTCTTCCTTCTTTTTCTTCTTTCTTTCCTCCTCCTCCTTCTCCTTTTTCTGCTCCTTCTCCTCCTCCCTCTCCTCTCATCTTTCTCCTCCCCCTCCTCTCCTTCTCCTCCTCCTCTTCTTTTTATAAAGAAAAAGGTTTAATTGACTCACAGTTCCAGTGTTGGGTATGATTCCCTCTTCTCTTATGATCCATTTCTTCTCCCTTCTGCTCCCTGGAACCTCCCTGCTTCCTGGACTGAGGCTGCTCTCCCTGGACCTCAGGGTTGGCGCTCACAGGCTGATTGCTGGGATGAGCAGCCTCCACGTGAAGGAGACACCCAGCCTCACTGGAACAGGAAAGATGACTGGGGAGAGAACACAGGTCAGCATGGGGACAGGGGTCACGGTGGACACGGGGTGGGTTGTCTTTCCACCTCCTCACTTTATGCTAACAGGGACGCAGACACATTCAGAGGCCTTTGCAGAAAGAGATACCAGAGGCTCCTGAAGTCACAAAGGGGAGGCATGAAGAAATCCTGCGTCTCAGTCCCACACAAGGCAACTGTCTCAGGCTACAGAAAACAAGTCATGAACAAATTCCGGTCAGTCATGGTAAGTGATGACACTCTGAACAGCCCACCAGACACTTGAAATGTCCCAATCAAAGAATCCACATTACCCAGTCCTTTCCCCTCTGCTTCAACCCCCACTCACTTCAGGCCCCCTAGGGTATCACCTTTACAAGCCCTGAGAGACACATCAGAGCCCTGGGCACTGTCGCTGCCTGGGGTAGAACAAAAACAGGACCTGGTCAGAGCCCGCGGGAGATGTGCAACAGGAGGAATTATGGGGTGGGTGAGCTCCCCACACTCCTGCCCCCACCACTTACACGCAGTCTGAGAATAGCTCCCTCGTTTTCCACCTGTGGGAAGAAAATGTCCTGTGAAGGGATGGGGAGGAGGCAGGGCCATGAGATTAGAGGAACCTCCTAGTCTTGGACCCAAGAGAAGTTTCCAGAACTATGACTACAGACCCAGGGCAGGATCAGGAAACATGAGGAAAGCAGATGTGGGTCCTGGACCAACCACCCTCCTAAGGTCTGTTCTTAGCAGGGACCTTCCCCTGACTCATCAATGCTGGAATCAGGACCACATCACCACAATCATCAAGGTGATACATCTGTCCTTCATTGTCACATACGCTTCACAAAAGAATAAGTGCTGGCACACAGGGCCCCAGGCTGGGTCGGCCCATGTGTGGATGGTGCTTCCCAGTAAGGAGGCAGGGATTACTTCTACCTTGGGCTTGAAACCAACTGGGGGATAAGAAAACCCACTCCTCACCCTTTCCCTACCTGAACTCTTTTTTCTACACATCACAGCAATGACCACAGCTCCAGTGACCACAGCTCCTAGGACACTCAGGCCAGCAACGATGCCCATGATGGGGATGGTGAGCTGGGAAGGTGGCTCTGGGAAAGGAGAGAAATGTGAAGGGCCCTGACCCCAGGTCTCAGCCCTGACCCTGCTGAAGGCTCCAGAAGGGCTCCTGCTTTTTCTGAGAAGCAATATGATCCCTCATCCCCCTCCTTACCCCATCTCAGGGTGAGGGGCTCCGGCAGCCCTTCATGCTGCACATGGCACGTGTATCTCTGCTCTTCTCCAGAAGGCACCACCACAGCCGCTCACTTCTGGAAGGTTCCATCCCCTGTGGGCCTGGTCTGGGCTGGGATGATGGGGTCTTCTAAATATACAATCCTGTGGTCTGCAAATAGAGACAATATGGCTTTCCACACTTTGGTTATGCTTAAAAAATACTCCAGAATTGTAAAAACTTCACACATACTTTCACCTAGAAAAGGACAGTGAGGCCGGGCATGGTGGCGCATGCCTGTAGTCCCAGCTACTTGGGAGGCTGGGTGGGAAGATCGCTTGAGCCCAGGAGTTCTGGGCTGTAGTGTGCTATGCCAATTCGGTGTCTGCACTAAGTTCCACATCAATATGGTGACCTCACAGGAGCCGGGACCACCATGTTACCATCATGCTCCAGTGAACACGAGCAGGCCAAAGCCTGAACCAACGCAATAAGGGGAGGTGTAGCGTGAGTGTTGTCCATTGGGGTCCTCATACTTGGCCAGAAGGACCAGACCCACATTTTTCCCCCTCACTGGGTTACAGGATGTGGAGTGCCTCAGGAAGAACATCTAGAACAAGGAGACTCTAACAAATGCAGACCCTGAAGGAGATGATGACCTGTAGATTTCAATCCCAGACTGGCCAGCAAGCAGAAGCACTGACTTTGGTTCTGGGTGTGACATGGCTGAGCAGAGGGGAGCTAAAGCTCCGGGAAGTGTGAGGGCACATAGACCATGGGCAGCAGCCTTGGTGACCTTGTTATACTTGCCCATGGCCCACCTTCCAGCTTGCTGTCCCATGGCCACCAAGATGATCCAGCTCCTACTATCCATTCTTCTACTTAGTTTTGATGTCTCCAAGCAGAGCTTGTCAGGGATTGTTCCCTGCCAAGGATGAGTTCAGTTACCCAGACCTGAAGGAAAAACAATGCTTGGTTTTTTCTCCAGGTTATCCCACTCTCAGAGAAACGATGATCTCCTATTGCTGTCTGATCACCTGGTAATGATGGTCCCATTCCTACCCAAGCATGGATTCAGTCCATGGTCCAGCATTATCAGAATCCTTGGGCATGATTATATGAAGCCATCCTGATCAAAGGGGATGGAAAGACTGAGAGGCGGCCAGGATGGCTTGATTAAACTGGGGAATGAATAACTTTGTTTTCCTTGATGACCTTCAGGTTGCTCCTTCCCCCAAAACAAGAAGCACAAGTAAAGAGGGGGCACCATCGTCACTAAAGTTGGTATCTGTCTCCATATGACAGGATAGATAAGAGGATGTTACAGAACTGGGGTCTTTGGTATCCATGGGAATGAGAGAATGCAGAAATATCAAAGGTCAGGCAATAGCACTCAACTGTCAGAGAACATGAACTTCATTACCATGAGTCACAAAACAAAGAACAGCAGAAGCCCTGATTCACAGGGCTGTGGATTACCACAGTGTATCTAGTGGAAAGAGATGGGTGAATGATGAAGGTATTTGCTTGACTTACATAACCAGAGGTGAAGAGTAGGTTAGTAGAAGACCGACGCCAACTGCCCCAAAGGAAAGTCACCATCCCTTGCTCAATACTCACTTCAATCAATACTGGCTAATTAAAGGATGCTACAATACTACCGCAAGCACATGTCGTACCCATGTATGTCCTTCCCTGAAGGAATCTGTGGTCAATTATAAGGAAGTAGACCATGAGGAAAGAAGAACAATAAGCTCTTTAAGGAGCTGGTGGATGCAGGGTTGGACTTACTGACATGAAAGGATTAAGACCTTCCTCATAGAGTAAGGGTGCATGGCTCAATTAAAGTCCTCACCCAAGCTAGTCTTACTCCAGTGAGTCTCTGTATCTACTCTGAACACTGCACTGGTCTCTGAATGCCTGAAATGGATGGACCTACTTAGCAAAGCCCTTTGGCTTCCTGTTCGAAACAGTATGGCAGGGAATTGCCTCCATGATCCAATTACCTCTGAGACCCGCAGTTCTAAATCTGGCCAAAGATGAGCATTGTCCGCCACTAAAATGCCTCTGCCACGTTGAATTCTGTGCTAATTTTGTGGCCAGAATGCGGTGATCAAAACGCTCCATTTTTTTACAGTGGCATAGGAAGATGGCAAAAATTTCCTAAAGTGCAATAGATTTTCAAGTGTATTGTGCCTTGTTCTAAAACTTTTATTAAGTAGGTGCACTTGACAGTATTGAGGTCATTTGTTATGGTGCTATTTCAGTTAGTCTAGGTTTAGGCCCTTGTACATTTTGCCCATAACTTTTTACAAAGTACTTCTTTTATTGCACATTCAGAGAATTTACATATATGTCTTCTGTGTGTGTCCTTAAACTTCCAATCTTATTTTGTCTCTTGGAGATTGTTGAATGCAGCTTGTCTGCGAAGGGGATGGGACTAGATTCTAAAATTTATTTGGGACCATGGGAATGATAGTTGGGAAGAAAACTATTTGCACACAGCAGATTTCTAGATACTTTTTGCTGCTAGTTTTATGTAATATTTATTGAACATTTTGACAAATATTTGTTTTTGTAAGCCTAAAAGTTTAAAGAAACTTGATCAAAAGACAGTACAAAAACACTGGCACTTGAATGTCACCATATGCGTGAAATTATATATTTCGGGGTACTGTGAGCTTTTAATGTTAAGTCATATTAAACTCTTAAGTCAAATTAAGCAGACCCGGCGTTGGCAGTGTAGCCATAACTTTCTGATGTTAGTAAAAACAAAATTGGCGACTTGAAATTAAATCATGCCAAGGTTTTGATACACTTGTCTTATGATATTAATGAAACACTTCAAAACACTGTTATGAAGTGTCCAGATTCTCAGATGTTTGTTGTGTGGATTTTGTTTAGTTGTGTGTGTGTGTTTTTTTCAGTGAATGTCTGGCACATTGCAATCCTCGAACGTGGTTATCTTTGCTGTATTCGTACATTCAGCAATAGTACTTGAGCAAGTTTTATCAGCAAGCAATATTGTCAGTTAATAAGGTTTCAAAACATGTAAGGATTTAAACTTGCTGGATGTGAAGATTGAAACTCAAGTCACTGTAGCTTTAGTAATTGCTTATTGTATTAGTTTAGATGCTAGCACTGCATGTGCTGTGCGCCTTCTGATTTTATTAAAATAAAAAGTTGAACCGCACAGTCTCCTTTGTTGTTGTTAATTGTGGTTTATTTTCAGAGGTGAAAATAAAGTTGTGCCCTTGCCCGAAAAATTAAAAAAAAAAAAGCTGTGTGTGGTGGCGCATGCCCATATTCCCAGCTACTCGGGAGGCTGAGGCAGGAGAATCACTGGAACCTGGAAGGCGGAGGTTGCAGTGAGCCAAGATCACATCACTGCACTCCAGCCTGGGCAACAGAGCAAGATTCCATCTCAAGATAATAATAATAATTACAAATTATTGCATCAGATCTAAATCTTAACCTCCAAACTCAAGTGTGCAAGAAATATTCATTTTTTATTTTCTCAAAAAGCAAATTCTATTTCTATCCTCTACCCACACCCTTCTGGGCTGCAGGGAAATTCAATCTCCATCCCTACTAAGGCCACTCCCTGATAAGAAACAAGGAGGGAAGACAGGGACTCTCCCTGGCACTGGACCACGTGAAGCCTCTGACTACGGTGCCCAAGCCCTCAATAGCCCTAAAGTTCTGCATCCCCTGCAAGCCAAGCCAAGTGAGGGCCTGGGAGTCCTGCTGGAGGCTGGAATCAGCAGGCCCGAATTCAGCGTCCCCAGGCACACCACCTGGCCATCCCCATGGTCTAGCCTCTTCTTGGGGTAGGAGAGCTCCCCAATCCTGGACTCCACCAACCTTCATGACCTTCATGTCCTCCTCTTCCTGTACTCAAAAGCAATGAGCACCAAGCATTTGCAAACTCCAAGTCTCCAAGGGCCAAGCAGTTATCTACAAAAACAAGAATGAGACTTGGTGACCTGGGAGCACAGGCTTTGCCTAAAAAGATCAGCATAGGCCAGGTGCAGTAGCTCACGTCTATAATCACAGGACTTTGGGGCAGAAAGATGGCTTGATGCCAGGAGTTCAAGACCAGCCTGGGCAACATAGTTAGATACCATCTCTACCCCCCAAAAAAGTTTTTGTCTTTTTTTTTAAATAAAAAAAGATCAGCACAACTTAGCTTACCAAATTTTTCAGGTAGTGTACCTAATGGTTAGGGAGCTGCATTCTAGAGCTATGCTGCCCAGGGTCAAATTCTGGTGACAGTCTTTGCTTTTGTGAGTCCTTAGGCAAGTCACTTAACCTCTCTGTACCTGTTTCCTAAACTATGAAAAAGAATAATACTTGTGGTCGGACACAAGTAACAAATGAAATTCTAAGGTTTAAATTCCTTGTTTCATAATTTTGGAAATGTGTCTATGGGGTCTGTAGGGCACTTGATATATGTGGCATTCGATAAATACTTTCTCTTGGGATGAGTGAAGGCTTATTTGCCTCCTTATGTTCACCAAGTTAAAGAAAACATGCCAGATATCCAAGGAAGTACAGACATGGATTAGCAACAGGGATGTACATTTATAAAGACTTGAGACTTTTTTTTTTTTTTTTTGAGACGGAGTTTCGCTCTTGTTACCCAGGCTGGAGTGCAATGGCGCGATCTCGGCTCACGGCAACCTCCGCCTCCTGGATTCAGGCAATTCTCCTGCCTCAGCCTCCCGAGTAGCTGTGATTACAGGCGCGCACCACCATGCCCAGGTAATTTTTTGCATTTTTAGTAGAGACGGGGTTTCACTACGTTGACCAAGATGGTCTCGATCTGTTGACCTCGTGATCCACCCGCCTCGGCCTCCCAAAGTGCTGGGATTACAGGCTTGAGCCACAGCGCCCGGCCGACTTGACACTTTTAAGTGATGTCATGTTTTGGTTAATATCCGTACACTATGGTTGTTAAAATACACATTAGGCTGGGCACAGTGGCTCATGCCTGTAATCACAGCACTTTGGGAGGCCTTAGGTGGGTGGATCACTTGAGTCCATGGGTTTGAGACCAGCCTGGGGAACATGGGAAAACCCCATCTCTACAAAAAAAATGCAAAAAATAAAATTATCCAGGCATGGTGGTTCGTGCCTGTACTCCCAGCTACTCAGGAGGTAGAGATAGG